CCTGTAAATAAATAATTTAAAGATAACAAAAATAATTGAAAGAAAAGAGCCATGACCTAAAAAGGAGTTGTATAATCTTAAATGCAATCATTATGGTTACGATGAAAGAAAAGAATACATAAAAAGGGTTAGATTAAAATATAAAAAAGCGAAGGAGAAAACGATGGAGAAAGGGGGGGAAAAAGAAAGAAAGAAAGAAAGGAGACGATATTGATGTGTATATTTCTTAGGAGCTAAGTGATGATGAAGTAGGACATGATTTGGACTATAGGAAAGCATTATACAAACGGTACAATTGAATGATTGCAATCACTTATTATATCTACTACACTGTCTCTTTTCCTAAATGAAGGAGCTAGTTAATTAATTTATGTATATTAAAAAATTAAGCAGGTTAGTTATTTGTAAAAAATGTGTTGATTTTCCTAAAATACCTCTTCTTTTAATCATTTATATTAGAATATTGTCAACATAGTTTATAATAGACATTATATATACAAGAATCCAACTATATACAGGGATAGTTTAACAAAACTAATAAATATAGAAGATAAAAGGGATTATCCTCCATTTAGACCAAAAACAAATCATCAAACTAGCTACCTCTTACGTTTAGGATCAAAGAGAGTATATTATGTTCACTAATGAAAGTTAAAATAATCTAAAATAATCATTTTATTATAATTCCAAAGTGACAATATTAAGTAAGATGTAATGTCAATTACATTCACTAATTTTATATTTTTATAAAATTATCAGAATCTATCAATAGGGATTAGTCTTAGTAGTTGTTAGGTTTCATTTAAACACAATGACTCATGTTTGAGTTTGTGTACACAGAGAAAACATCTTTAAAAAAAACATCTTCAACCAACAATTCTTTTTAAGATGTGGATATTACAAAATGAGTTTTTTCTCTTCTAGTACAAAGTCTTTTTCATATTGTTAGGGATACTACTACAAAAAATAAAAATATATGAAAATGCCAATATCAAAGTGTTTTTACACAAAAAACGCTCTAATATAATGAGGCGTGAACACACCGGTATGCTTGCTTTTGAAGCAAAACACTTTATGTCTAAGGATTAAATCCTTGACAATATATTTAAGTGGACTTCTAGCCATATCCCTTGTTATATAGACATGGTTGATCAAATTTTAATAGCATGTTTAAATTTTTTAATAGAATAGCCATATATTTTGCCAATTTTGTCTAAAAATATACTTTAGAAATTTAAATTGAAAGGGCGATAGTTATTGATTATTACATTGATTGGACGAAAAATACGGAATGATACTAGTTATTTTAGCTTTTACAAGATTTTTTATTTTTCAAGTTGCTTTACATGTACTGTTTTTAAGAACTCACGTACCCCGCCAACAATTCACTCTTAAAAAAAAAAAAAACTTTTTTCAAGGAATTTTCATATATATAAATTTGCAATGAATTTAATTTTTTTTAAATAACTGTTTTACTGATTGTGTTTTAAAACTAGAATAATTTGGCGATCATCAAATGATTAGTTAAGTCTTATAACATGACATTCTATGGAAATTTAATACATAATGAAAGAAAAGTGAATCGTTCATCAACAATAACAATAACGTAAACTAAAAGGAAAGTGTAATTTTAGCCATGTTGAATGATTTTAGGCATATTAATTGCTTAGTTTCGAAGGGTTGAGTCCAAGAACGACCACTTGAACTAACTCCATTAATTCACGAACTAACAAAGGTAATGAATCTTTCCATTAAACGTATAACTTAAATAATGAATGAATATAAAGCACACATGCAACGTACCAATAAGATTGTTCTAAAATGGCAATGCCGCTATACGGATTTAATCTGATGAGTGAACAAGTTAATGTGTGGTCATGTCGCTTTTTCCCTAAGATAACATAATAGCTGATTTTGAATGAAGCCACATAAACCCTAGCTAGCTAGTTTCATTATATATATATATATATATATATTCACTTTTGAGTATAATTCAAGTAAATTATAATGTCCTCACAATCCATAAATGTCCAGCTAGCGGAGACAAAAAAGGAGAAGAAGAAGAAGCAAGTATTTTTTTATGAATAAATTAAAGATACGCCCGCGAGACATTTTAACCCACATAGATCCCACCTCCAATTATTATATGTTAAAATGAAAAATGAACAGGAAACATTATATGTATATAAGTAAAGAATCATATATCCATAAAAGTATATTTATTTCATTTATAAGTGATCAATAATGTAGTTTTGTTTTTCAGAAAACAATATATGAGAAAACATGTCTAATAATAATATTCTTTTAGCTAAGAGAGAGAGTGTGTGTTCTTTTTATTTTACAAGTGTGAATATTCTTGAACGTTGTAACAAAAAACACTGAATTGATTTTAATGACAAGCTTTAATAAAATTAAGTTTGTATTCTTTTTTTTACATACTACTGTTGCTAATTTATTTCTCTGAAATTTTGCTGATGATTGAATCATAAAAATACAGTGTGATTTAGCATTTATATATGACTTGTGTGCGTTTGTGTGCGCGTGCGGTTAAGGAGAGGATATTCATAGGTCTTATTGCCAAATGTGATGAACATTAATGGTTAAAGAGTCTAAAACTTATTGTGTCTCTCTAAGTCCCCTTGAATTATATATGTAGAGTGAGAGAGAGAAAGGGGCTTGATAAATGATGAGACTTACTCCTTTTCATCTTACATACAAGTCATTTATATAACCACATCACTGGAATTAAAGAAAAATAGTTATATTATTGATATTATTTTTGGAAAAGAAAAAAATTCTCAATGTATATTCTTTATTAAATTTATCATCTTTAAACACAACTTCTCTATTGCATGCAACCTTTTACCCTACTTATAGAACAAAAAGGAACTTGTATCTTAATTTACAGTACTAGGAAGACTACATGGTACATGCTATTGAAACCGTAAAAGTGAAGGGTAATGAGGAAGCATGCATGCATGATTGGACGAAGAAAAAGATGAGAGACAATGGGGTTCTTTGCTCTGCAAGAGGATAAGAAGAAGACATGAATGATTGATTGGTTGTTTCATAATAAGCCAATACATTTAAAGTGATCAGAGAATGCTTTTAACGTACCAAACATCGCCATGTTTCTCTCATGTGACCATTCCCCCTCTTCCATGTGCTTTCTGTCATTCACTTCATCCCTCCATTCAAACTTAAAAAGTTTAGGTGAGTTTGTATGGGTACAATAAGACTAAGTTATACCTTCATATTCAAAGAATGTTTATAAAAGTATTTATAATATTTTATATCGACAGTAAGATTTGAACTCATAATTTTGTGTTATAAGTTAAATTCTTATCAATTAAACCAACATTCATTTGTACAATGTTTTGCTTTTATGATAAAGCACAATATATCTTTCATGATACGTACATTCCTCGCGTTATTACACACATAATAATTTCTTCATGAGTTTCCTTTTTGTTCCAACACTTCAATTTCAGATGTTTGCAGTCCTAAGCAGCAAGCATTAGGCCATTGTTGATGTGTTTTTTTTTTTTTAATAACAACTATCTGATAACCAATAGTGTAGTACCGGATAAGTTCGAACAATGCCAGACGAAATTATTATATGCAAGATTTGAACGAACTTTGTTTGAGGTTGAACACTTAGTATAAAATTATGTAATCTAAATAATGATTTTGAAAAGTAAAGAGATGAAATGCCAAATGAGTTATTTAAATATATTTTTATCAATTTTGTCTTTTTTTTTTGCCAGATTTATCAATTTTGTCTTAAAGTTGATATTTTTAAAAGATTCATTTCAAGCCAGGTCAGAGATGTTACCGCATTTGTTTTTGGGCCAAGTGATTCCCACATCTCTCATTACAGCGTCCCTTTTGCTTGTTGTTGCAATAAGCCTATGTCAGTGGCCCAAAACATCAACTATTTAGCAAATATTTTAGTTTGAGGCTTCAATGAATTGTCCCCACAAAGGACAAAATCAGGAGAACTCCGTCAAAATGATTAAAAAGGCAATCACCAATTGGGGTTGAGTACAGAAAAAAAAAAAGTCAGTCTCTCACAATATTACAAATTTTCATTAAGTGTTTACTTAGAAAAGTGTTCATATTCAGTGATTGATAGCGCCTTCCAATAAGATTATTTTCAAGATAAAGATACATGTGTGTAATAAAAATAAAAGGCAATCACCAAAAAAAAAAATCACCAATGAGAATTAGATCTAAGAAAAAAAGTCAGTTTCTCATAATATGATGAATCAAGATTTGAATATTTGTTAAAAGATATGTTCATATTTAGTGATTAACTGTGCCTCGAAATTCCTCTAATAGGATGATATATGTAATTATTTTTTTTAAAAAAAAAGCAGGAAAAAGGTCTTTGTGAAATCTACCCTTAATTGGGTTTAACAATGCTAAAACTGATCCATTTAGATAACTATGTGAAGGGGAAGGGGGAAAAAAGAGAGACAAGAATAACTATATTGAGTCCAACGTATCAAGTTTTTGCACATTGAAAAGGTTTTTATCAGCTTCAATTTAATTTAATTTTTTTAATTTGATTAATAATTGTAGACGTTATTAGATGTTTCTCCATTAAAGATAAAATTTTGAACGCAAAGAATTTCCAAAAGCTTTTCACTGGTTGTGCGAGTACGGGTGGTTGTCGTGCGTAATGATATAACATAAAGCTCGTTGTAATTGCATGAGCTTTTTTTTTTTTTTTGTGTGTTTATGCTTATGTTTCTCTCATTTTAACTCAGATTAACTTTGTAATTTAGGGTATCTCTGTATGAGTCTGAAACTAATTTTTTTACTAGCTTTACCCAATCCTATTTATATATACAATTTAATTGAATATTTAAGTTATTAAACCACAAGAAATTTTTATTAACAATAATCCATAAGTCGTCATTTGATTTTTTCTATCAACATTTATTTTATATAATAATTATATATATATATATATATATATATTTCATAAACCATGCGACGACAAGGTTATGGAATTTAGCATTAAGAAAGCGCATGTTCTTTCTTTGTTTTTTTTTAAGACATGGACAACAAGCAAGACATGGCAGTGACACTGAAGGAATTAAGACTCACATACATAATGCATCAAGATAATTATTATTGGACACCAAAGATAGCTAACGGAGGAGGAACATCTTGAGCCAATAAGCAGAATACTTGAGATATCGTTTCATGTTGTTGTAATCCACGTACGTTAATCCAAATCGAAATGTGTAACCATGTTCCCATTCAAAGTTGTCTGAGAATGCCCACGCATAATATCCCTTCACATTCACCCCTTCTCTGCAACACATATATATCAACATAATGATACCATCACCATGGTTTATTTAATTTCTCATTCTATTCAGTATATGAACAATAATATATAGAAAAAAAAACACTTTTTCTTGATATTTATTGTAATTTAGAGAACTTATAATCCATATAAGTTTTCTGATGAGGTCTTTTTCTATACTTTTCTTTTTTTTTTTGTTTTCTTTTGCAACTTTTTTGACAATCAACAGTGAAAGTTAATACTTGTTTTCAATAGAAGTAATGTCGCACCACTTTGAAATGTTGTATTAAAGACAAGTTTAAGGTCCCCAAACATTTTTGAATTTATAATTTAACAGCTAATTCACCATTTTATCTTAAATTAAACTAAAATATATTATATAGTAAGAATATATAATATATATTTCACTAACTTTACAGCTTGAAGAAGATATCTGAGATGCCCGTCATGGTATCTAATCCTTATACTGTCCTTGATGGCCTCTTTAAGTGATTTCGATGCATCATTGGCTTGAGCAACCCCTGGATATTCCACATATTAAACAAAATACATACACACATACTTGCATTACATATAATTAAAATTAGACAAAAATTATTTGCTTTTTAGGTAAATTCAAATACGAAGAAGTATGGTTAACATGTACGTACCATTTTCATGAATATAAATTGGTGGGTTGTGGTATTTGAGCTTCATATAGATCATAAGCTCATAAATTCCCCTGGGACAGACATAGAGCCAGCTCAAAGCAGTCTACAAACAACAAACAATGAAGATAAAAGCAAGCTCTTTATATATGTAGATGTGTGTGTGTGTGTGTCTCGAGGGCCCAAAAAAAAAAAAAAAACATACCGGGGTACCAACAGAGACTCCATTTCTAGCGGCTGAGAAGATATTGGAAGAAAAATGAAGTGACTGTATGTGTTAGTACAACGAGTTTTGAAAAATACAAACAAATTTGGAAAAATAACAAATAAGGACCTCATAAAAAGATTAAAGTCAAATTGAGATCTCTTCACAAACAAAGTTTTAATACTAATAATCTTTAAAATTTTAATTTGGTATTAATCTTCTTATAGGATCCGTACTTGTTATTCTCCCTATTGATGATACTTGAGTTGTATACCAATAAATGTGTTGTATGAGAGAGATCAGAGTGTTTGGTTACATACTTGAGAAAGTGACATGCATATCAGAAGTGAAGCTGTGGTTAACAGTGGTAGCAGAGAGGGAATTTTCTGCAAAATTAGTGGTATAATAATTCATGCCAAGAAAATCATAAGATCCTTTCAACATTTCTGATTCTTCCTTTGAGAATTTTGGGAGCCTATCTCCCACTCTAATTCTCATGCTCTTTGGATAATCTCCATATGCGATGGGGTCTGCATGCCTACATGTTTCAACAACTTTTAGAAAACAAATTAAAGTAACATTATATTTATTTGAATCATCTTTCTCTTACTACTTACAAGCACAAATCTAAAAGAAAAACAATTCATTTTAAAAGATTAACTTGTTAGGTGTGAGAGTTTTTGAATTTATAAACCCTGCTTTTTCTCTGAGACTTCATGATACAATCACATTTTGACCAAAAAATGATTTTATAATATATCACTTACCATCCCAAAAAAAATTCCAAAGCTCGATTTGCAGCCACACGATTATCCATAGTTTTGATTTTAGGCTTGAACCAATGCGTCACTAATGTGATTCCAATTTTTCCTTTTTGAGTAGCCTAACAACAACAACAACAATAAAAACAATTCAAAGTGAGATAACAAGTTAAATAATTTGGCTTGACACATAAAAACTAGATTTGAAAGAGAACCTGATATTTGGTTTTGTATAGTGTAAAAGCAGCAGCATGAGCAAGAAGGAGATGGTGGGAGGCAAGGTAGGGCTCGGTGGCAGAGTTGCCGGCAGTACAGTTTCCGACGTAATTTGAACAGCGGCCGGGTGCCTTGGTGCCTCCGTTGTAGCCGCTCACTACGAATACGTAGGGTTCATTGAAAGTAACCCATGTCTTAACCCTATCTCCGAACGTTTTGAAACAAAAATCTGCGTACTCTCGAAAATCATCCCTATAATCATTCACCAATTAGGACACTATTAATATTAATATCTTCACATATCATTCCTTGATCTTCATCACCACTTTGAATAAGGTTTTCAAATTTTAACCATAAAGCGTTAATTATTTATATAATAAAATTATCTGCAGAAGAAAGCTATGAAAACAGCATACACAGATCATGAGATTCAATATAAAATGGTGAAATACTTACACTATTTTGGGACTGAGAAATCCACCATACTTATCTTCAAGAGCTTGAGGAAGATCCCAGTGAAAGAGAGTGACACAAGGCATTATTCCTATACGTATGAACGTACACACACACGCACGCACGCACGCACGCACAGAAATGAGTCAAAATTTATGAAAAAGATTTATATTCGTTTAATTTTAAAAGTCTATGTAGTAACGAAAAAATCAATGATAATATAAACAAGAAAAAATAATTAAGAATAGACTCACCATTTGCTAGGAGTTCATTTATGACATTGTTGTAGAATTTGACACCTAATTCATTCACTTTTCCTGTGCCCTCTGCACACAAATATAAACAAGTAAAAAAACAAAATTATATCATTTTGATCATCATTATGCATCGTAGACGTAATATATATGTATCATCATTATATAACATATGTATGTAGAAACCTTTTGTTTTTTCATGTCATAGTTTTTTCCAAAATTAGCTTAACTTGGTTTAATTGATATTAAAAAGAAAGAAAAATCTTACCAGGGAAAATTCTAGACCACGAGATGGAGAATCTAAAAGAGTCCAGCCCAATTTTTTTCATTAGATGTATATCAGTCTGCGATATGGAAAATTGGCAATTTATATATGTAAAATATAAAATATATAAAACAGAGCCTGGGAATATTGAAAAAAATGATAAAAATGAGGTTGATGAGCACCTTGTAGTGATGATAGAAATCGACCGTCACGTCGGCAGTGCTATGATCCACAATCTTTTCTGTTCAATTACTAATCTCAATATAGTTAAATATCGATCTACCACAGTAAATTTATTCCTATTTAATTGAGCCTTTCATGCTTAATTATATAGAATGGCAGAGATCATTCACATTAATTTACATATGAGATTAGATAATAATTCAAAATCCTCTCATGACTAGAATTTTTTTAACATATACTGGACAGGTTTGGAACCTTGAATTTTACTTTACCCACATTTCAGTCCCAGCTAGAGTCATGGCTAGAGTTTGTGACGCTCGAAAGTCAAAATAGATGACAACATGAGAGAATATAATTTCTTTTAAAAAAATTGAAGAATTAATAGCACTGAAATAAAAAAGGGTGCTTGAAAATTGAAATGCATGTGTGAAAAATAATAAGGAGAGTTCTTAAAAAAAACCAAAAAAATTAAAGGAAATGACGAGGACATGCTACATGAAGAAAATCAAACCGACACTCTTTCTTTCTTTTTTTTTTTCGATGCAAAAACCAACACTTTTTCATGCCTTTAGGCTTCTATGTAATACATTTATAGCATAGATAGGAATATAGATTATATTTTACTTCCGGACACTCTTCTCTAACGTAAAATTGAAAAAATAAAAGACATTATTTACTTTTTTCATTAAAAAATAAAAAGTATTTTAAATGAGTTTTACTTTCTAATAAAATAGTCAAGCAAGATTTTTTTAATAAATAATAACATAAATAGTTATAAATTTATGTTTGATATTGAAACCAATTTTTTGTCCTGAAATTAACAATTAATATCACTCTCAAACTCAATTAGTCCAAGCGACATTATAATGATTGTGACATTTGAAAATTGAAAGGCTATATTACGCTAATGTATGCAAGGGGAAAAAAGAGGGCCCTTTTTAAAAGTTTTCCCAGCCCACATATTCAGTCAACTTAATCGAGCCAGGTCGGAATTTTTTCGGATGAAAATTTTACTGCTATTAGTGCATTTACAGGACCGAGTTAAAATGCAATACCGTTTGGTGATAAGAGTTTTCGTGTGAACGAATCTTAACCCGACTTGATCCGAATCAATAGTAGCTGCTGTTGGCTTCGGACCGGATTAATTAGAAAAAAATTTCATTAAATTATGATTTCTTTTGAAGATGACAAAGGGACGAGAGAGAGAGAGAGAGAGAGAGAGAGAGAGAGAGAAACCTGGGTGCTGTTTGGTGAAGGTGTCCCATATGCTCGGTCCTCTTCCGTCAATATTTACTGCTCCTTCATTCTGTGGATGTTTTATCATCAGAACATTTTTTAACAAAAATACCCAGGAACTTCATAAAATTTGCAGATGTTGATTAAAGTTTGGTGATTCTGCAGAAACGTACGAAAGAACAGACCTGATAAGAAGATGAACCAGCACCGAAGACAAAGTCGCGAGGGAAAAGGGTTCTGTTGAACGGAACCGAGTAGTGGCTGGGCTTCGCAGCGCCACCGCCGGCCGCCTCAAGGGTGGCGGCGGTAACCGCCAGTAACGCAAACAGGAAGAGGCCACCACCTTCGTTTCTCATACCTGCCTTTGCTCTTTCTGCTTTGTTTTACTTGCTCACTCGTCTCTCTATGCAGCTATTTATAAATTATAATGGGACACGTGATATTCAAATTTTAAACGAGAGAGGCTGGGGAAATAACTGAGAGAGAGAATATTTTGCAAACGTATCTAAGCTATGTAAAAATTTTTTTTTTTAAAAAACAAAGACACAGGAGTAAACATGATCGCCGTCCTATCCCTTATAGAAAGTTCAGAGACCGTTTTATGCCAAAAAAATTGATATTCATAAATTTAAAAAGTCAGATTTTTATTTTTTTATTGTCATATTAATATAAAGTAATTTGGATTATTCTCGGCCAAAAAAATTTGGATTATTAAAAATTTTAAAAAAAAGTTAAAGGACATTCTAATTCCCATAGTATCTCACGAAAGAGCAATTAGTATCTTAAAAATTACTCCCTCCGTTCATATGTATAAGACAAGGAGGGAAATTCTTTTTTTCTATTTTATAATCAATCAAATCATTAAATTTTTATCTTTACCCTCCCTTGAATGCTTGTGAGAGAAAGTAGTATGATATTAAAACACATATCATGAAAGGAGCTAAAATTAAAATTAAAATTAAATTGAAGATTTTTTTTGACAAAATATATTATAAGTAACTTATAATAATGAAAAGAGCTAAATCCTCACAAAATGAAAATTAAAATTTGAATTTTTGTTAAAAGATATACTTATATTTAATGCTGATTGTGTTTTGTGTAACATCCTGAATTTTAATCATTGAATTAATTAAATTTATTAAGGTTAATTCAGTAAATATACTTGTTTATTACTTTAGGAATGGTTAATGATGGCTGGTGAGCCTATTGAGTTTGATTTCAACTTTTGAATTGAGCCTGAGGGAGTTTTAGACTACTAAGGCAGAGATTAGATAGCAAAAATGGACTAGGCTTCTCTATGTGGCGGGCAGTCAAAATTTTTGAATATCAACAGTGTGTTCCTGAGCTACTGATAAAGAGGAAACAAAAAATAAGAATGAGAAGAATTAAGGAGGAGTTTGGGCCTGGTAGGGCATGGAAGTCTTGTCATTTGGAAGGGATCAAAGCTTTCAAACCCTAAGATAAGTCTTTCCTACCATTCCTCTCATTTTCTACTAGATTTTTGAGTTAAGATTTGGTATATGGGGAGTGAGATTCTTAAATTTAAGATTACGAGTCTAGATTCATTGGTCTAAATGAAATTAATAAGAGTTGTTTAAGTATTATACATCTAGTTTAGGAGTTTATGTAAGATTTTGAGTTCAGGTTTAGGGTTTTGTATGAACCTTAGACACTTTGATGATGATTTTGAATTATTATATGTTACATTTGTAATTATTTAAGTTAGTGGGATCTAAATAAAGTTAATGATAGTCAATAAACTAATTGGATGAAAGATTGAACTTGTGTATTTAAAGTGAGAAAATTTAGAAGTCTGAGATGTTCACTTTAATTATTATCAGTAATAGGTGTTAATTTTTACTATACGCTAACCTTATAAAGCACCAGTAAGCTTGATTTGAGCTCTAAAGCAAGTGGTCATTGGGGGATAACTTTTGAATTTTTAAAGTTTTAGGTAATCAGAAAAATCTATCTAATGTTATTTCTTGTTAATTAATCATAGGCGTTTGTAAGCTTTACAATGTATTTTATGTGTGTGTGTGTGTTGTTTAAGTTTTAAGTATATGCAAGTTGGGTTTTGCACATTAATGAAATTATGAAATTTGAAAATGAGGATTTTAACTCTTGAATTTGATAATTGAAAATGAATGTGAGCATGATGGTGATGATGTTGTGATGTGCTATGTGATGACTTGACATGATCATATTGATCACAAGAGTTCGCTAAAAGGAGGGTCATATTGCTAAATTTTAGTGGATAATCGTTGTTGAACCTAATAACAGTCAAAGCATCTTTGACCCAAAAAAAAAATAATAATCAAATTTTGTAGAGTCAGAGGCGGAACCAGCTTTAATAGTTAGGAGGACTAACTTTTAGAAAACAAAAAAAAAATAATTTTATAATTTAGAAATATTAGGTGCCAAATTATGTATGATTATATACACTTTTTAAAAAATTTTAAAAATGTCTAAAATAAAATGATATAACATACTTATGTTCTCTCAAATCCTTTATATTATAAGGTACTTTTCAAAAATAAAAATTAGTTTAAATTACAAGATACCTTATTAGAATATCAAATGATGCTCCATTTTTTACTCCCTATAATTTTAATGGTTTTTTGTAACTTAAACAAGGCACGATGAGGTTCTCTTTAATTAATAAGGATATGAGTGAACTATTAAAATATTTTTTAAAAATAAAGCAATATAATAATTTTTATTAATCTATCTGAAAAATGTTGAGAAGTATACATAAGGGGTGAAGGGAGTGAATTCCCTCCAAACAACAATATAATGTATTTTCTAAAAACTTTCCTTAGTTTAAAACACTTGATATTTGATAGCTATTATAATTGGTTTTCCAACTACGCTCTTATTTTATTTATTACTTTAAAAAAATTATGTATTAAAATTTTAATTATTATTGTTAAAACATCCACATAAAACATTTAATGAATATATAATTGAAAAAATGTACAGGTTTTTTAAAAGTAAAATTTTACTTAACTTTTTTAAAATTATTTTATAAAGTATGAGATTAGTGGTGACATGTCACAAATTAATGCATGAATGGTGAGTGATGAGATATCATCATTTTTAAATATAGACATATTTAATAAGGAGATCATCAAAGTTATCAACTTTTAAATAGTATTAGTAAGGAATTTGTGAGGGCCAGGGGCTGAATCTCTCATTAATTAATGAGAGAAATACAATCTTTTACTAAATTTAATGAATTATTTTTTAATGACAAATTTAATGAGGGATAAATCTTTTACTAAAAGGTAATTTAGCCAGGTTGGAGCTGGATACCTCTTGAAAGCAAGAGTAATGATGTTGTTTCTAGGAGGCGCTTATAGTTTATGTAAAACGCGGTTTGCTAATATTTTTTACCATACATATATATAAAGTTTTTAAAGTTGAACTTGGAGTGTTTTTAATTTGGGGGAAAAAGCAAATTGATGCGATAAGTGATAAAACATAGTGGGACGCATATTTTTGAAATTAACCTGAGAATGTGTATCACGTGGCCCCTGATGTGACATTCTACCATGCCCCTCGTAATTGAGCTAACGTGGGTAACCCTACGTCATCGTCATAAATAATTAAGCCTTCTTGTGCTGCTTGCTTATTTCCTCCAATTTTATTTATAAATTATTTTTATTAATATTATTAATGTAATTAAAATATAAGAATTAAAAGTACGTGAAATTTAAAATATAACTTTTAAGTAAAAAAATAAAAAATAAATCAATCATATAATAATATTTTTTATCTCTCTCCCATTTTTTAAGGATAATTCAAAAATTTTAATTTAAAATAAAATAATTTCATGAACAATTTACTTATAAAGTGAATCAAATTATATTTTTAAAAGTGATTAATATATAGGATTGAAAAAATGCTATTTTATAAAAATTAAAAATTATTTTATTTTTAGTTGTAATAATAAAAAGTAATTATTAGTTATTTTTTTAAATGTTATGATATCTTCCTTAATTTTTATTTTATAAAAATAATTTATTATTATATTATTTTAATATTTTATAATATTTTTGTGTATCTCACCTCTTTAAAATACTCTCTCATCTTATTTTCATAAAAAACTCAAAATAATTTCCTCAAATAATCAAAAATATGTATTTTTTGGATTCTGATTTTTTTTGAAAGTTTAAGCAAATATTTTTTCTCACCTCATAAAATTTTTATTAATGAAATCCAACAATTAAATATTGATTACTACTTTTGTTAAAAAATAACCAGTTTTTTTTTTTGGAGAAACAACTAGAATGAAATAATAAATTACAAGTTAATATGTGCAAATTTTTTTACCAATGAAATCTAAAAACTAAAAATCAATTATTATGGTTGTTTTGCATAAATTTTTTTATTAATGAAGCGTAACAATTAAAATTATTTTCTACTTTCTTTTATAAAATAATTATTTAAAAAAATAGAATGAAATATCAAGTTATAAGTCATGATGGCCATTTTTTTATTTTTCGAAAAGTTAAAAAAAAATATTTTCACGTTAAAACTTAACTGACTGACAAATTTTTATGGCATATATTTCAGAAGCATTTTTCTGTTATTTTTTCTTTGAAAAAAAAATAACGTCAACGAAAATATCAAATGAGTTTCAAACTTTAAATTATACCCACACGATGGGGGACCCACTTGCCCTGGGATCTTTTCTTTTCACACAACATCTGGTAGGATAGGACGCAGCCCAACAAGCAACAATAATGCAACTCAAGATATGATGGCCCAGGCTCCATAGTATGGGACCTTTTTTCTTTTCATGGACAAATGGGCGTGTTGAATTACAAGACACCCCACCCATTTTATTTATTTAATTAATTGATATTTGATAAAATAGCTTTGTTTCCATTTAAAATTGAGGGGTTGGGCATTAAACAAGGGGATTGAAACATAAAACTAGCTTTTTCCCATGTTGCCCCTGGACATGAAGCTCTGCTTCGGATACCATTTGTCTGCCCTCTTCAACAGAGAAACATTCAATTCAATTAGAGATTAAACTATGTAGTACACTGAATAATTAGTCATGCAAATTTTCCTTTTTAATGTATATAGATTATTTTTATATTTTTTGTCCAACGTATCAAACTAATTTATGCTATTTCAAGTGTTTATTACGCATAGCTTCCAACGGATCAAATGTATTGCACTTGTATAATGAAAATATTGCAAATGATAAAATCAATGCCATTCTTAATTATTACTCCCCTTATTAAAGAATGTAACGTCTTTTTAATCAAATTTTATTCTTAATAAAATAATTATTTATTTTTAAATTAATCATATTTTTTATATTTACTCATATTAAATAAGGTGTTTCACCCTAAAATAAATATAAATAATTTACTCATAGGGGC